GATCATAAAAATGTTATAGCAGACAGTAAGGAGAATTACTAATGAGATCTTTAGAGTGAAAGGGTTGATAAACAAAACAGGATTTGACATGGTTATAAACAATTATAAAACTTATAACCCATACTTGGGTATGTTCATTACTAAAATGGATATCCATGGTGGTAAAAAATTTACATAAAAAAACCTGCTGTACATGTGAACTAAATAACATTTTCTTTTAGGAGATCATTTCCCTCAGCACATGCATCTCTCTCTATGTATGGCATGCTCTTCTTAGCAGTAAGTAACCAGTTTTGCTTTCAATGTACCTATGTACCTATAGTTATAGTTATCATCTAATATTTAATGAATGAATGTGTGGAAGCCAATGATGTCAATGTTACCAAAAAGAATATGGAACCCTAGTGAGTTCAGACTGCCACAGTATAAAAATGATATCCTTATGTCTGTGAATTAACCACTTAATGATAGTACCATTTTTAGCCATTTTTAGTTCAAACATTTATGATGAGGATATGAAACGAGAAATTACCAAAGAAAAAGCACTGAGTTCATTGTTATCTAATATCACATAAATAACAGTGACAAGATTTACTCCACAGTCTTTAAATTCAACTTTGAATGTGAGTCATAATGTCACTGATTTTTTTTTCTTGCAGGTGTATTTTGAATCACTCATAAGGGAAGGAGGTTCTTTCCTAAAGCCTTTCATTCAGTCAGGTTGTTTCATGGTATCACTACTGTTTGGACTGTCCAGGGTGAGAGACCACATGCATCACTGGCATGATGTTTTTGCTGGGTTCTTGTTGGGTGGATTTTTCGCTGTATACATGGTGAGTCACCTCCACACACCCCATCCTGAGTCACATTCACCCACCCCACCCTGGAGTGGAAGCAAATGTCAATTCCCTCACAGCTATCATTTAGCTCACACTCTAAATGATGATCATAGAAAATGTCTGGAAATAGACGGCATCTCTCCATGGTGTTAAGTTAATGCTTCACACCCTAACATTTGTATGCATATTCTCCATACTGTTCTCTATACATTTCCTGAAGCGCTGATAAGGAGAATTTGTTTAAAAATCAAGAGCGTTATAAGATGGTGATCATTTCCTTGATTCTTGTGACCTTAATGTTTGATTCAGGGGTGATGTTGTAAGGAGAAATTAGAAGCTGGTCACTCTTAAGGGTTAACGGGTTAAGGGGTTAACGCTTTGACCCCTAAGAATGATTAGCATCTAAATTCTCCCTACAAAATCCCCCCTAAATCAAACATTAAGTTCATGAGAATAAAGTAAATGGTCACAAACTAAAGATGCTCTTAATTGTTAAACAAATTCTCCATGACAGCACCTCAAGAAATGTGTAGTGAACAGTATGGAGAATATGCATACTGATGTTTCTGAGTAAAGGGTAAACCAGAAGTGGTAAAAAGTCTCTTATCTTGCTTTCCAGTGTGTGAACTCAGGTGTTACTATAAATATTCAGCCTATAATGTTACCTCATAAGACTCCAGTCACCCAGACCCACCCAGTAACAGTTATGTTTTTAAGTCTTTTTTTCTTGGAGCGATTGAGGATTACTGTTACAATTTGGAAACTTTAAAGTTGTAATATTATTGTCTTTAATAAGGAAAACAGAAAAATAGCTTAAAAGTACAAAATATCAAAATTAAAGAAATCCAGTCTTCATATCAATTTGCTTCACTTTTAACCTAGAAACATTTTGTTTTCCTTTCTGTCTTTCTATTCCATGAACAGGGCATTAAAGTCCTGAAGCTCCTTGAGGAAAGTCATCAAACACCAAAAACAGGCAATATGCATTGTGAAACCCCGAAGAGCTCAATGGGCAACAGTGAATTCTATCTGCATTCCCCTGACAAACTAATACCAACCACTCCACAGTTTCCAGTTGCTATATAAGCTTGGTAGATCCCTCATGTGAGGGGTGTATTTTGAAGAATTTCCCTTTGCAGCTGTAATTTTTAGTCATGAAAAACTTTACGCTGGCCATGACAAAGAATTAACATTTGGGAAAGTGTCAGAGAGGGAGGTATTTCTTAAAGAATGCAAACTGAGGGGTTTGCACAAAGAAATATAGAAGTAGCAAAAAAGTGTTAAGTAACAGGAGAGAACTAAGGTCATCAAAGTTTGGTTGAATAGTTCTGCATTGTAGGTGGAGAATCCTCCTATATCCAATACCTAATTAACATCTTGAAACTATAGTCAAATATTTTTATATAAAATAATTAATCAGTGATTACCATAAGTTCCAATATCAACACATCATGAAATATTTAAGTTCAATTCTGTAACGATAGGGGTTAAGATAAATTAACAACTTGCGTTGACAGTAGCACAAAGTTATTTTTGTCTGAAATCTCAACTATTATAGAGATTAATTTCAATTCAGAATAATTGACAAAAAGCAACAATTCCGTTGGCAAATACGTATCATTCTCAAAGATGTATAAAAGTATTGAAAATATGGAAACTGATGCTATAGAGTACAGGGTTTAAAGTTGGATGAAGCCATAGAAGAGGAGGAAATGGTAGAGGAAGCACTTTATGTTGGGAGCAAGATTCTCAAATGGCATTGACAACTATTTAGCTAACATATGTATTGACAAATAACATTTCATAGCACTGAGTGCTATTTAATATATTTTTTCATATAAAAAAAGATGCTTAATTTTTATAAGCTACATTTGGAATTGCTGTATGAATACTATGTATAGTGCAGTTATTCATTTGTCAACTGACAGTAAATAATCTTTAAATAAAAAAAAAAAAGCTTATCTTCAGAGTGGTCTGCACAATTTCTTGTGATGATACTCTGGGTATCACTTCATTGTCTCAGTTTTGTGTCTTGTCTTTTTTCTCCTTTAAGATTTTTTCCCACGCTTTTGCTAAGCCTTCAGTTGTGTTTGGAGGTTTCTATACAAAAATGAGAAGCAAACTGTCATTTAACCATCCTGCAGGCAATTCTGCCATCAAAGACATCTAAATTGGAGCCCTGTTTAAACTTACTGGTACAGAGTGTACAATAAATAACAAAGTCTTACATTGCACTCTTCATCTGGTGGGTAAAGTTCTTTCTGTGAAAAAATATCAGCAGAAATATGGATCAGCAAGAAATTTGATATATGTTGTATATGCACTGCTGTATTATAATTATTGCTGGAAGTAATGCTGAAAATGGCTTAGAGAAGGACAGTTAAAGTCAAAAAGTCAAAGTGTTTGTTCTATTCATTAGTCCAATGAACACAAAAGCCTGATTCAGATGGTCATGGTAGTTGATGATAGTTTCAATATCCATTCACTATTACTGACTAATATATAGATTTAACCAAGCCTAAAAGCGGAACTCGCATTTTTTCCCGCACGTCTCAAGGGCACAATGCCTTGCCCTGGCCAGGACTAGAACCCGGGTCGTCCGACTCGGAGCCCAGTGCACTGACCACTGGACTACTGGACAAAGCCGTGGTGTTGGCGTGCCCGCGGTACAGTTGACCACTCATGTAGCACCTTGTATGGTCGTATGGTTGTATGGTGGTACATCCAAATTTTTTCGGCTTGATGGGTTACTACTATTTTGTATAATTATGGGGCTATGCTCTGCGAGCTCCACTATCATATTTGAGCTCAAATGGTTCATGATGTTTGATGATCATGTGATGGGATTGCTTACTTGTAAACAAATATGGCATGTCCTGAGGTCCACAATTTCAATGGCATTTAAAATGTTAGTAAAGAAGTTGTGGGTAGAAGATACTGAAACTTTAATTTAGGTCATTTTATCATTTGTTGTTTTGGTTTATGCCCGTTCTTAGCAAGACTGCTGACTGAGAAAATATCACTACCTATCAACTGCTTGCTCAAGTAGCAAAAACTATCATCAACTATCAGTTCAAATTTGAACATGTCCGAACTTCATGATAGTTGATGATAGTAAATGATACTGCACTGTTGTTTTTAGGTTAGACTTATACTTAACTTCATTTTTGAGACCTGTATGTTTACTTGTGATTGTCTTTTAATTGAAAAGAACTTTGTAAACACGCCAACCATAAACTAAATTAATGTTAATAGTATTGTAATACATGTATCGTAATGTAGTGTATGCATAATTTATGTAAGTATAAGTATCAGTAGTGTTAGTAGCAAGTACAATATAGGTGTAATTAATGCTGTAAGTAGTGTAATGTGATCGTCTTGTAAATAAAATTGGTTAAAAAAAAAAAAAAATGATAGTGCATGATAGTTTGTGTTCAAACGCATGTGATATTGATAACTATCATCAATTATCATGACTGTTTAAACTGGACCTACTTTTGCCCTAGTAAGAAGTAACAAGTATACCACTAACCTTCTTCTGTGTCATGAAGTCTTCATATGATCCTGGCATATTAAAGTAGAAGAATATTGCCACAGGAAAAAATACATAAAGAACAATCTGCAAAAATGTTAAATTTCTTTGGCATTGGTTTCAAAATTAATCGAAAATCGGGCTATGAGCTCTCAGCCATTCACAGTACATACTTCATGTCAGAGGAAAAAGGAGTAAAACTTTCTTATTTTACTACCTCTAGCCTCTCAACATACTAGAAAAAAGTTTAAAATTTGCAGGGAATGGTCACTTTTCGTTACATCTCGTGTAAAGAGGTTAATCAAATGCATTGTTTACGGAATAAAAACCATCAGACGTGCAATACCTGTGCTGGAAAAAGAATTCCCGGGCAGTCTTAGCCCTTGCTTGAAAATTTGATGTAATAATAAAAACGACATCACTATTGATCCAAGTATAACCTGACCTAACTAAAATTTAAAAAAAGCTTAACAAAAAACACAAAAAGTATAGAAATTACCCGTCCTAGTTCTATCTTCGATCCGATCGCCATCTTGGACGAGGAAACTGGTACGTACTCGCGCAGTAGCCTTGATACGCATACATATAGGGAGAAAGCCGCTAGGGTTGTGATTGAAGTATGAGCCTGCGCTATCTCCGGACATAAACATGGCAGTCTCAGTTGGTGTTCCATCCATCTCCCAGGTTTGTGTTGTCTTTTTTAATGCATTGTTTTAGATTATCGTCGATTGGAACATTTTTTGTCGAATATTCATGTTTCATCTCATAGTACCCCTCCGATCTCGAGAGATTTCTGTCATTTTACCTATCAAATTTCCAGCTTTTCCTTGCTCCCGTGTAAGCTAATAATTTGCAAAATTAATAGGTAATTTCTAGTTGCACAAATTCAGTCCATCGCTCTTGGCTTATCTGAAATACACCAGGCGGGTTCAGATGTTTTTTTTTATATACAGAACAATGTATTTAGATGCTCTAAAGAAAATAAATGCCGCTCGTTGGTGAGCTAGTCCGTAACAATATTAATCAAGGCAGGGAGGAAGATGCGAAGATGTTACCTTGCCATTTAATTGTGAAATTTCTAAAGCAAATTCGGCGCGTAAATTACCATTTTTTTTTAATATTTAGTGAAATTCTTGCGACTGCTGTAGTTTTGTTTGAAATTGACCCTGTTTCCAGCGTGTTTCTTTCGTGACATTTCCTTATCAGTGCATTGTAAACATAGATTGAATTTTTGAAAAATCTAATCTTTATAGTAATAACGTGCTCTTCATATGTTCTTCCTTAATAATGGCCTGTTAAATTCACAGCTGTCAGCGGGACATGCGACTGTCTATGAGAATTTCTTCAGACAGGTATGTTTTAGTTAAGTTTTAAAAAAATCGGCATCATATAATTCGAAACAGAAACAGAAACAGTTACTTAATGAGTTATTACTTACATTTTTGATAGCACCAGTATCAACAAGTAAAAGAAATGCGAGCTTGCGGTTCATTTCTTGTCTAAATTTCGGGCTCGACATTTGTTACATTATATTTGAGAGTTATACTGAAAGTGAGCATTTACTAGATGACGAGAGAAGATCGATTTAATTATAGACAGTTTAGAATAATTATGGAATTACCGACTCGTGCGCTGAACAAATACCTGGAAAAAATCAGAATTCATTTGCATAGAGCATTGCCCGAGGAACCAGGATAATTTTTGCTATGCAAAGACCATATGTATTGAGACTATTTAAAAGCCAACATATGCATATTAGAGAGAAATGAATAATCACAAAACTGTTCATAAAAATAGAAAATTATTTTGTCTTACTATTGTTTTACTCAAGGAGGTAAGTTTCTAAAGAAACTGTGGTGCAGCATCAATGGGTGATATTTCAAGACAATTTGGTTTCATCAGCTGAGTTGATAACAGGAACTGTATGTTAACCCTTTAACTCCCAGATCAAATTTGTCATTCTACTTCCTGTTTACCATATAATTCTTATTTAATTTAGTATTGGATCAACTTATTTTCCCCAAATTAATATTTTTCTTTATTCTCATTTCTTATCTGGTTGATATTGTATTGATATTGTAAGGAGAAATTCTGTCTTGGTCACTCATGGGAGTTAAAGGGTTGACAAGACTACCTAAATGCTCAGCCAGAATTGTACTTGATAATTACTTTTTTTTCTGTATGTGTCTTAAATTATTTTAACAGGCAGATGTGTCTAACACTGGTCAAATTGGAGCATCAGATGCTGCAGCCTTCCTTAAAAAGTCTGGTTTAAAAGAGGGAATTCTTCACCAGGTAAGCATAACAGTTTTCCATTGTTAACTGTTTTATGTAGTGGAGGCAGCTTTTATGGTACATCTTCTATAAATAATAATTATATGTTACCAAAATGGCATGAGGAGCTTTTTCAAAAAGATACTTCGAGTCTTATTGCAAATGAGATAATTAAGCTTAGAGCAATAATAACTGACCAAGAGTATTGATCAGTTGGTATGAACTTAATTTTAATATTATGATAATCAGAATTTTTACCAATAGAGAAGGGAGTGAACCCAGCAAGCTTCACCAGAGCCCCGTTAGCCAACAGATTTCCTGGTTGATCATAATAAGCCTTTATGGCAACTGTTTGAACTTTTGTAGATTTGTTTTTTATCAGGCATCCCCATGTTTTGCAATTCCATACTTTGCCTGTTTCCACCTCCCTTAACATGGACTGAGGGTTGGACTTGGGAAGTATACGATACATGTGTCTGAGATGATGTTCAATGTTAACTGTATCCATTCATTTTTTACAGATTTGGGAGCTATCTGATCCACAAGGAACTGGATTTCTTGATAAACATGTAACAATATATGGAATTACTTTTAATTATAAATTTAGCACTAGTAAATTGTTCTCTTCTTCTTTATCAAATCTTTTAATACTTTTCAGAGATGTTCTTATCAGTAAACTGCTTATAATTAATTTTACAGAGATTTTTCTTGGCACTGAGATTGATTGCCCTAGCACAGAATGGTAAAGATGTCTCACTGTCAAATCTGATGTTGCTAGTTCCAGCACCAAAAGTAGTGAGTATATAATGCTTATCAAATGCTGCTGCAATTTTTACAAATACATTTGGGATTTTTTTTAGATTTTTCTGTTTCCCTGCTTTCAAAGGTTTAAGTTTGAAGATCATGTTCAGTTTAACACTCTTGGACTTTGGCTAAGCAGTACTGTATATTCAAAATTCAGTGTTGTAGTTGGTGTAAAGAAATGCTGTACATGTACCTTATTGTGTTTTTTTTTTGTACACACTCAGTAATCAAGCTTTTGAATAAGTTACCACCTGTAAATATAATTTTTTCTTTCTATTGATTGTTTCCTGTTCCTTAACCCCTTACACCCTAGAATCAGTATCCATATTCATATTTTTTTTTTCAGGGTGATGTGATACTTCCAGCTGTACCCCCTCCACAGGAAAGTACACTATGGGCTGTAAAACCAGCAGAAAAAGCTAAATATGACAACATTTTTGAAGTAAGTCAACCTAAGCAGAAGTAGAATCTATGATCTTGAAAAAATGTGGTATTAATTTATTGTTTCAATTTAATATGCCAATAACTTTGCACCTTCAATAATTTGCAAAAACACTTTTTCTTAATTTAAGGGGCTACAACCAGTCAATGGTCTTCTTCCAGGAGAAAAAGTGAGACCTGTAAGTTATGAGTTTATTGATTAGTGAATTTTATATACAGCCCTGTTATAAGCAGCTAAATAGTAACAAGTCTTTTTGAAAGTGATTTGAATATTTATTTTTTTTGCAGAAAAACTTTTTTTAGCTCAGTCACTTGAATAATGTTTTTTCCATCTTGTAGTTAGCTACCTCAAATGGTTATGGTATTTCTGTTCTTTATATTGTCTCTATATTGCCTTATACTGTAAAGCAGATGATGATTTGTCTATAACACTGACCTTTTTTTTTCAGGTTCTCTTAAACTCAAAGCTTCCCATTGATGTGCTTGGTCGTGTGTGGGAGCTTGCTGATATTGATAAAGATGGAATGTTAGACAATGATGAATTTGCAGTGGTATGAAAATATGATTCATTTATCAAGATAAATGGCACATTTAACCCAAGCTTAAATCAAATTAAGGTTCAAACTCAATTTCTTTCAAGAGTCACTCAGATTTCTTTTGTTTCTGTCATTGATTCTGTCACTGTGAGAGTGTGAAAGGAGGTAACTTAGGTACTTGTGAAAATACTGTAGTTATTTTTAAGAAGTTCATGGCAGAGTGCTGACTTGTTATTTTATTGTAGGCAATGCATCTTGTGTACCGTGCATTAGAAGGAGATCCAGTCCCCCTAACGCTTCATGGCAAGCTTATACCTCCTTCAAAAAGGAAATTAAAATTGTCTTCATCAGCTCCTTCCTCACCATCTCCAAAGGGACTTACTCCACCATCAGTCAGCAGTTCTGTTCTCTCCACAGTCACGGTGAGTTTTATTCTGAATCAGTGAATTGTTATTCTCTCTTTGGGTCCTGAAATTATGTATGCCCTCCCTTCCCCCCAAAGGATTGTTCAGCCCTCCTTTCCCCCCACTGAAGATTGGTCACTTGAAATTCCACAAGGAACATGATGGGATGTCAACTGCTTAAGTATTCCAGAAGAAGCAAGAACTAACTGAAATTTCTCAATTTGTGGGTGGCTGAAAACCATTTCCTCTTTAGTGAGGACATAAATGCCCTTATCTAAAAAGTCAATGTTGTTGCTGTATGAGGTTGCTATGTAGCACATCAAAAAAAAAAGGATTTCAACTTTCAAAACAGCTGGGAAACGGAATGATCATGTTTATCTAGAACTACATGTAGAAAGCATATGAACTTGGTTGTCTCAAATTATGCATAAAGGGAAGATTCAGAGTTTAATCCCCAGCCAGATGTCTATTTAGTTTTCAGCATATTTTGCAAGGTCAGACTTAAGTAATTAGAAGAACGTGCTTAAACAAATTATAACTTGCATTCTTAGACTACTCAGGAAAGCCCATGGGTTGTTACAAGTGCTGACAAGTTGCGTTATGATGCCATGTTCAAACAAGCCGATAAGGATGCTGATGGACTTGTCTCTGGTATTTTTAAATTCAGTGATGTTCCTATTTGTTAAATTTTCTTCAGCGGTCCAGCAATATTGTTGTTCAAGGTGTACACTTTTGAATTTTTTCCCTTCACATGAAGAAGAAAATGTGTGAACTTCCACATCTTTAACAGTTATAGAGACTCAGTTGTTGAGATATGGAAATGTTGATTTGATACTTTGGCAGTGCCATTTTGAAACAGGAAACTTTTATTTTCCAAAACAATGCAGAACAAAGCAAGCTGAATGCATTGAATAAGACTCGCTCTTTGATACACGCTTTTTTCCTTGAACGAAACGCAAAAAATGTATGAAGTTTATGCGTATATGTGGGCCATCTACCTCTGAGCTGTACTGTAGGTGTTATTGGATTATTTACACATACAACAGAGTTGTAGACTAAATCATACAAATTATGTAACTTATTCAGTCTGTTTTTTTTTCATTTTGTAGGAGAAGAAGTGAAGAGTATCTTCATGGCATCTGGGTTGCCACAACAAGTTCTTGCTCACATATGGTTAGAAATACTTTTACATGATGCCACATACCATCCATTACATAATCAATTTATTTATTTACATGAGTGTTGTGTCATCCTTTCTTGATCTGCTCTGCTAGTTTGAAACAACCATAACTCCAGTGTTAAAAATTCTTCTAAAAAGGGCTGACTGGCTTCAGTATGGCATCATGGTGCATATAAATGTATAGTATCTGTAAATGATTTGCTGCTCTGTTGATGACATTTTGGCAGTGGCTGTCTTGGATCACTCCATTTCAATTCAGTAGTCAGAAGAGTTTATGTTTGCTGTGTGCAACTATATGCAATAGTGGAACATTTTATATTTTTACCATGCATAGTGTTGAGTCACAACTCATATGACTCAACACAAACTTGCCTTATGTTATTTTACTTTTCTTTAAGGGGACTGTGTGACACAACAGGCCAAGGACGCCTAAACTCTGAGCAGTTTGCCCTTGCCATGTATCTTATACATCAGAAGGTTATGGGTGTAGATCCACCACAAGCCTTGCAGCCAGAGATGGTTCCACCCTCCATGAGGAGTGGAAGTGCTGCCAGCCCTGCTGGGGGAGAGGAAAGAGTAAGATTCAGTTTTTTATAGATTATACTTGTTAGGGATGGCTTAGTGGATTTACCATCAGTAATAATTTTTCTTGTTTCCTAACTGTTTCAAATGTAATGTTATGGCTAGTTGCTTGAAAAGTTTAATCTCACATATACAACAGATTTTCAGACATGTTTTGGAAGTTTGATTTATTTACTTTACCACCAACTCTTCATGTGACAATTTATTTTTATGTAGGGAGAAAGGATTTCATAGGATTTGAGTATTGGAGAGTTTTTTTCTCTTTTGTCCTTCAGGAGGGGGGAGGTGCTGGATCTGTCATTTCAACACTGAGTGATTTTTCGGCCATCAAAGAGCTGGACAAAATAACCAAAGAAATTGAAGACCTTGGGAGGTTAGTGTAATACCATTAATATTGAATTAAAATTTGATTTAGATGGTAACTACAATTTGTCATTTAATAATGGACTAAGGAATTTGCCATGATGTGTTTAGATTTTTCTGTTGTTGTATAAGGTATTTCTTCACCTGATTTAGCTGTTTTTTTTTTTACTTTCAATGAGAAGGAAATATCTTCAGAAGGCCTTCTTGACATATACATTTCAAAATAAAAAATTCACTCAACCTTCTTTAAGTGTCCCAAAATGCTTTATACTATACATCTTTAATTTCGGTTCCATTATCCTTTTTAGCTCTGAATATATCTCTCTTTTTTTCATTTACCTTGTTATAATTTTTTTTTGTAGAGAAAAAGCCAGTTTGCAGCATGAGATTGAAGAGAAAGAAGAAATGATCAGACAAAGAAATGGAGAAATACAGGTACATTGTCATGTTATCAGTGTCTTATATGAAACTTGTTACTTGTCCAACATCATTATGGCTATCTTACTCTTTGTTTATAGAATCTACAGAGTGAACTTGAAAAAACTAAACTGAAATATCAAGAATTAGAGAGACAAAAAGCAGATTCACAAGGCAAACTTGATGACTTAGACAAAGAGGTGAGACATGTCTGTACAGCTTTCACTCTTCTACTTTCTGGCATTCATCTCAACTATGATATTTATAAACAGTTTTCCTTATCAGGCTTTGTGATAAGGTATCTCTCTAATTCTATTCACTATGCTAGAGTTGCTAGACAAATTCTATTTCAAACTTTGTTTTTAACCCTTAAACTCCCAAGATCTGATTTTTAATTCTCCTTCCAGCTACTACACATTCCCTTGTAAATTAGTTTCAAGAATTTGGTGTTAGATCAAGATAACAACTTCTACCTGATACATTTGAGTATTCTCATTACCTGTTTGCTGGATAGTGCATAGATATTGTAGGGAGAAGTTACTTTTTAATCACCTCTGGGAGTTAAGGGTTTATTTGATGTTTTTTATTCTTGCTCAATCCAAGGTATTGCAAAGGCGTGTCAGGGAAGGGTCAGGGGAGGATCAGGGTATATCTAGCCTCCTCTTTGCAGAGATAAAGGAATATTATATGATAACAAAGCAATTAGACAGTCTAATAGCATCCTCATGCCAATAAGAAGCTAGTGCAGAATTTCTTGAGGGGAAATTATGTCTGTCATTGTGTTTCTGTGCAGAGCATTTTCTTGCTGTCCTTAATCACACAATAACTGCTTTGCCTGCCTGATTGTCATTAGTGTTGTGTATTTTCCTTTCTTTTCCAGAAAGCCAAATTGGAAGAAATGTTGAAAGATGCAAAGCAGAAATGCGAGGAAGAAACAAAAACGGTTAGAGTAGTTCAAAACAGTAAATACTAATTGGACATCTGTTTCTGCAGTGCATGAATAATTACTAACATTGGGAATTAATGTAAAAGTGAAAGGAAAATATGATTTTTGCGAATCTCTTTTCCAGATAAACAGTTTGCAGGCGCAGATCGCATCTTCGAGAAAATCAGCCCTGGTATGTGGATCTCTTTTATTTCTACACCTTTTACCAAACAGTAGAAAAAATAAATTAATTCAGTTAAGGAAGTATGCCCCTCTCTAACAAAGACTATGGGGATCGAAAGTTTCGTGTAATTCCCCCTTTCCCCGTCCATGAATCCATGTATAATCTTATGTGCTAATAAGATGCTTGTGAAGGATCCCACCCCTGTCTATAAAACCCTCCCTACTCCTACTACCTAAATGTTGGTTTTAGTGTGAGGAAGAAAGTAGATCTTATTTTTCACTTTCTGTTTTTTCTTTTTTTACTTGTAAAAGCTTGAACTGCTGATCCATAAGAAACCATGAACTTGATAGTTTTGTGAGATGTTATCTACAATTTTTGATTAATCATCCCTTTTACAGCAACAAGAAGAAGAACTTAGCGACGCGAGAGATGAATTGAACAGAATTAGAGAAGACGAAACCAAGCTAGAACGAGAGGTGATCAGAGGATTACATCTTTTTCTGTCATTTAACGTTGGAAATTTTGTTTCAACGGTGAATTTTACGTCTACAGATCGAGTCCAGTAAAGAACACCTAGAGACAGTCCAGAAACAAATCAAAGCTGTTCAAACAGAAATTTCGCAGGTAAGTAGAATGAAATCTTTGAGCAAAGAAAGTCCAGGTTATAGACACCATTTACCTCTTTTCTCTCTCCTGAACAAAAATTTCGGAACCAATATTTCATGCATTCAAGCGAGCTCCCACTCATATCTCGAGTCTATTTCACTTCGTGAGTTTAGCAAGGATATCAGTTACGAATATTTCTTTTCTAGGTCAGATCAAAGGTTTCAACACTTGAAGAAACAAACAGTAGCCTAAACGCCAATATCGCACATTACAATTCGTTGATGAACTCCAATAGTTTGTCCAGTGGTCCAGCGTCCATTCCGGATTTTGCACCCCTGACAGATGCGTTTGACATGACGCCGACTCCTTCAGAAGCCGATGCCATGAGTGTCAGAGCGACGGTAAGTATGGTAGTGAAAGCAAACGCGATTAAAAAAATAAACACGTCCTCAATTTTTTCATTTGACTGGTCGCCCAAGGCAAGACTTTGACGGTGATTGGAAACAGTGTACTGATTTTTAACTGGTACTCTGTGGGTGTAAAACCAGATAAAAGATGGCAGCCACTCTCAAGATTGTCAAATATCAAAATTGAAGAATAGTTTAAGAGATGTCGTGGTAAATGTTAAAAAACAAATAGCACCATGGGGAAGTACGGCTGCCGAAGGGGGTCTTTTGAATGGTCACAGCACAGGACGTCATTAACCCTTCAACTTCCAGAAGTGATTAACGTGTTAATTATCCCTATAATATCCATTCATTAACCAGCGAACAGGTGATAAGAATACTAAAACTCATCAGGTAGAAGTTGTTGTCTTGATCTAATGCCAAATTCTTTTAAGTAATTTACAAGGAAATGTTTAGCAACAAGACCAGAGAATTAACAATCAGAGCTTGGGAGTTTAAGGGTCAACAAGGTCAAACCTTAGCACGGTGAGATGCATCTCCATAACTGGCTTATTGAAATTAAAGGGTGGAAGTTTCTTTTTTCGTTTAGGCCGGTAGCAGTCCCGTGAGCAGCATAAGCGGCTTTAGTGTTGGATCTGGTCGAGTAGATGAAGCTGTAGATGATTTTAAGGTTGGTTGCTTGTTTGAAATTTATGGAGTTTATCACAGAACTGATATGTTTGTCTAAACTCTTTCGAATATTCAAACTTGATTCAACTTTCTAACTTCTTGGTTTCAGGATACAGATCCCTTCAAGAGCAAAGAAAATTTATTTAGTTCTTCGGAAACGGGTAAGCTGTAACTTTTGTCACATTTTCCATGGTGGTCTTCATTTCGATTTGTTTACCTCTTTTTTTTTTTTTTTGTAGTTAATATTGCTAGGTGTTTTTAGACCAGGAAACAGGGAATATTTGGTATTAAGTCTCTGCCCTACGAGTAAATTTAAGAGTTTGACATGGTATAGTTAGAGTGAGATTAAATGAAAAGTTACCACATCGACCTATCAGAACATAGGTATACAACACAAAGAACCAATGAGAAATTCAAGTTAGGTGCATGTGACCGACCTCAAGCGCGGGAAACAGTAAAGACCAAGTCACGATTGGTTGTATCTGATTGGTTGATAAAGTGGCACGAGTTTTCTGAACCAATCACAGAGCGAAGTAAAGCGTAACCATTGCAGCCGACACTAAATCAAATGTTGCTTTTGCTTATATTCTCTTTCAGAATCTAACGATCCTTTCCACGTAGACGATCCTTTTAAAACAGACCCATTTCATTACAAGAGCGTCTCGTTCGCGGACCCTTTCCCAGGCGATCCGTTTGAGGTAAGACTACTTTGACGTATACACCACCCCTGTGATTATTACACCGTCAGTTTTACATGTTTCATACTTAGAACACTGAGGCGCGTCATGACTGGCATTCACGTTCTTCCCAGGGCGAAGATTTGTTCAAAGGTGATCCTTTCAAAAGTGACCTTCCAGCCAGTGCAGGAGCTAATGGTTCTGGGGCAGGAATAAGCAATGGTGAGTTGGCAACAGATTCTCCTAACTTTACATCTGTTGGAGTATAAATTTTTATGATATTGAAGAACAATCTTTTTTAAAAATTTTTTTTCAAGCATGTGAAGAAGATTTTCCCAATTTCTGTCACTAACGGACACGTGTGTATCATCTGTATCATCACACTTTGTCGCTTCGCAAAAGGCACAACAACTCAGTTCTTTTCTGTTAACACAGAAATCTAGAGGGTGAAAGACTTCAGGCCCCTGTTGTTCGAAGGGTAGATAACACAATCTATCCATTGGATGGTGCATTACGTTTTATTAACATTTACCCTCTGGATAGTGATTTATCCGCTGAATAGCGTTATCCGCCCTTTGTTCAACTGGTTCCTCTGGTTGTTTGCCGTAAGATTACTAGATTCATCCGCTTCTTTAGCAAAGTGAGAGAAATGTTGTCACAATTGTTTACTGAAAGTGCTCTGACAGTCCATCCTGAATTAACTAAATTTTATTATCATTATTATTATTATTATTATTTTACTTTTTTAAGGTTTATCATCTTCACCAGCAAAATCAGATCCTTTTGCTATGGATCCCTTCCAGAGCACATTTCCAAGCAGCAAAGTAAGTTGTAATGTCTTCCCTCTTGTCAGATATTCTACAAATGAATCAGAAGTAACTCATCTACGAATTAAATCCCTTCCCACCCCCTCCCCCCCCCCCCAAAAGGAAAATTCTACCTACTCCCCTAAAGAAGTTTCTTAGAATGAGCTGTGCTGTGGACTGAGAACAGTTCAGAGCCTCAGTGTAATATCAAAATTTTATTGTATCATGTTTTCCTTATCATTTCAGAGTCCGGCAGATAACTTTTTCAGCTCGGATCCGTTTAAACCATCTGGGAGTGGTTCAGATACTAAGAAAAGCACGAATAACTCACAGGATAAAGATTCTCTCTCGTCTGTCAAAGATCCTTTCAGCAATCCCTTTGGTCCTGATCCATTTGGTCAGTTTATTTATTACTTATTTTGTCTCTTTCTCTCTCTCTTATTTAAATGATATACTTATGTATGTTTTGTAAGAAAACTTTGATCATTTGCTGAGTTCTAATTACCCGCCTGTTTTCTTATGTATTTTAAAATATCTTCAGGAGAAAATAAATTTCGTGCTTCAATTGTTTATCTCGGTTAAAGTAACGTATCTTTTTTTTGTTTACTTTATTCTAGGTTCCTGATGAAACTCGACCTTTCCCGATTAAACATGCCGAATTGTCTGAATGTCTTCAAAAGTGTCGGCAAGAACAAGATTATGGCTCTTGTAGTCTGCGGCCTCAAAAACTTTGTTCAAAGTTAGCGAAAACTAAGCAACGACTGTATTGAGAGTCGATGGGAAAAATAGCAGTTTCGGTCAAAAACTCATAAAGTTCGCTCGCTATCCTTTCACATAAACCTATGCAAAGCACATTTTGAGTGACTGTTGTAAAAACAATAACTGAGTATTTACAACAGCCAGTCAGAACAAAGGTAGTTATTCCAAGCAGTGAGCGAGAGTACAAAGTACAAATGGCACACTACTTGTAAGACCAGAAAAAGCAGATGACTAAGTCGCGTTTTGTTTAATTTGGGCATCACATTTCCTGAAAGGATGACTCGAGTTTCTCGTACCAATTACAGAACGAAGTCAGAGCGAGGTGTGAACCATAACCGTTGAAATGCCGGCTTTCTTTCGAAAATTGCTCTGGATTGGCCGACCCTGCTTACCTTTATGTAAAGGAATAGAGTTTGCTATGAGTTCCTTTTGTGAACAAAGTATGTTTTCATTTCGTAATCAAGGAGTTTCCCCTTCACTCTCAGAAAAGATTAACATATAACCTCTTCCTATAATATCTATACATTACCCATCAAAGGTAATATGAATACTCGAAGTTATCAGGTAGAAGTTGTTATCTTGATTTAACACCAAATTCTTGTAACTAATTGAAAGGAACTGTTAAGCAGTTAAAGAAGAGAATTAACAATTAGAACTTGAGAGTTCATGGATTGAGGTTGCATCGCGTTACTATTTTTGGATGTTTTTTAGCTGACTCAACTTCTTTGTCAAGTGATTGGTCCAATGCCGAGTTGTTGACAAAAGCTCATTTGATATGTCGGGAACGTATAATGTATTTAATCACTGAATTATTTTATTTTTAAACCACAGCAATAAACACATGCTAAGAACTAGGAATTTTATTGAACACACCACAGATGCAACTGATTCTTGCCTTGAAGTCTTAACATTGCTTGACGTCACTGCTGACCTCAGTGAATGAAGTAAAATGTGAGATAAACTTGAACTATAGTCACAAATGAGTCCATCTTGTTTGAAATAAAAAGTGTGACGTGACAGTATTACGTTGGATCCTTTTGCAACACAACGAAAGGTAGAGCAATCTTTAAGGCGGAAATTAAGAAACGTGTGGCAGGCTTTCGATAAAGCGTATTCCAGTAAGACAGCTTGTGGTTAAGTTGCGCAACATAAAAGCATTCCAAGTTGTAAAAAGTGACCAATCTCCTTTCAGTAACTAGCAGGATGCTGGATCAGGAGGAAATCGTGGCTGCACATCGAAACCGTGTTCATGATTGGAGCTAAACAAGAGTTGTGCGTTACGGCTTTAGTGTCTGGAATCAGATCCATGATAACAAAGTTTAAAAACGTTTGCGCGCGTTATCTAACTAAAAGAAAAAATACCGAATCAGTAAAAGTTTAGAACTTCGCCCCTGGCAACAACAGAAGCTACGCGAGTAACATTCATTCCTCTGTTCAGTTCCGATAATCTAATCCATGTCGCAGAAATATCTCGTATGCCTTGCGCTGTTTTTTGAGTTCCTAACTTCAAGCTTGTTCTCCGCGGATTCTTCTTCCCAGCTGAATAGCATTCGGAATGTTAACGTTTCGTCTTCCCCCGAGAACTGGAGACTGAAAGCTTCTTATTTCACTCAGTGTTCCGTTGTCAGGTCTGTAGCGGGTCATCTTTCTCTCCCCGTTTAAAATTCCGTTTACAGCAGTTTCGTTTTTCTGCTCCATAACAGATTCTTCTGGCCTGACCATCCTTTGACTGTGTTTCTCGAACGGTACGCAAAGAACACGCAATAACCAATGAATTCACGCTTTTGATTGCAGTTTATGAAAGGCGATTTTGAAAACCGCACATTCTGCCCAAATGAAGAATTTTCATTGGTCGAAAGAGTAAGGAAGCAAGATTTAATTGGTCGGAGAGATAAACAAAGGAATTGATATTTTCACACATCCTGCATATCTTATAACTTATAACTTACTCAGAGTTACTCTAGTTCAGTGTTGGAAAATCTGCCCGACACGATAGATTCGCCACATTTTTTCAGAGTTAGATGAACAAAATATTCCCTAGTTCTTTCCAGTTCTCATTGACTCTGAGCTTGGCTTTCATTGAAGTGCAGTAAAACAGATACTAATTACCCTTGAGAAAAGCAATTTTAACTACGTTTTCATTTTAGTTTTTAAGTAGTCGCATGTTTATAAACGTTTTTGTCCATTTTACAATAGACTCTAATTTCTTTTGTTAGCCAAGACTCCATCGTTCGTCTGTAGCCTGCCACTAGGCGTTTTACTCTCTCCAAGTTATCCTTTCAAATCATCTACGGTCAGAAGCATCTTCCCATCAACTATTGTCCCATTTTGTTAAACTATCAACTTTTCTGCCTATACGCAGCCTTTCTGTCACTTGTATTCGGCGACGACTCTCCTTCAAATTACACTTGCCGTCAGTTTCTTTGTTGCGGGCTTCTTTGTCTACCTACGGTCGCTTTTTCTTTTCATGCCGCGCGTCAGAGTTGAAAGAAATGCGCTATACGGGTTGCCTTTGTAGCGAGCCACTTCCGAGGAGCTTGTCTACCACTTGAATAACGAACAGTTTGCAACTGATGTGCAAGTTAGTAGATCTCGAGTTACAAAAAAAGTAAACCTTAACGGTTTCAGTGGTTTTCTGTCATGCTGTTCCACCCTCTTGAAGTGATAGCGTGCTTCGCGCTAATTGGAAGTAATTTCTCCCGATGTATGTGTCGTCTTATCTATGCGTTGTATGGAGTTCTTTAACATGATATCTTAAATAAAACTAATGTTTTATGAGTTTTTGTAACGAAGCACAACATGAATAGTTTAATATTTTTGCTGAGTTGTATACTGACTTTTGATATATAGATTTTTATCGCTTTTTAATTTATTGTTAAATATAATTTTGTTTTCATTTTGTAATCTATCATATTCCCTGCGGTTTCTTTGGATATTTTTTAAGTTATTGTAAAGGGCATTAGATCATATACTTATATATAGGTGCTATATAGGTATTAAATTTATTATCATTATTTTATTCATTATTTTGATCGCAGACGTTCTGGAGAAGTTCAATATCCCTGCGGATGAATGAGCTGTTGTTTTGATAACACGGTCAACAAATATCTACAAACATTACTAAAAGAAATAAAAAAAAAATGGAATAACAGCTTCATCTTTGTAATTTGATGCACTGTTTGTTCTTCGGGCGGATCGACTCCCATTCTCGGGCGGATTGACTTCCATTCTCGAGCGGATTGTCTTTCGGGCGGAACGACCGCAATTCGGAGCCACCAAATCTTATAAAAGTCATAACCAGCTCATAGGCCCCTCACTAATGAATTTCTCTGTTGTTGAGTATAGTTATCCTACCAATGGTTCGTGTGGAAGCCTCTGCTAAGCAAATCTGATCTACTCCTAAGATCCATCTAGTTTTTAAGGGAAGGTTCCTAAAGAGGAAATTTTCAGAAGTAAACAGATCCCCTACCATTATTAAGATCACAAAGTAAGACCACCCCCTGTCAGCCAATCAGCTTCGCGTAAATGAATCATTGCATCACTGGTCGAAATCTAAGTTCCGCCATTTTTTGTTTTGGTTACAGTCGCCTGTCGTATTTTGGCAAACTTTTAGAACTTCAAGTGATTTTCCTCGGTACTATGGGGGTTATTAATGTTAACGAACATTTCCGAAATCGTCGTAACCAAGGAATGATCGAAAATTATGGAGCAGATCAGTAAGTACCGCAGCATTACATAACTTGATTTGTTTACCTTGCGCGGTTTTGAGGTGGGAGCCGGCCTTCCTTTCCATCGCCACGAATCAGCTGATTTTTTTGTCTAGTCGTTCTAGTTAGCTTTCAAGTGTGATCGTCATTAAGAGATCAAGAAACTGTTTCGAACGATTAAATGCCTGTATCACTTCTCGTGATCGTAAGATGATAACAGGTGATCGAAACGGTGTTGAAAACAGAATTATTTGGCGTTTTTTCGGCTCAATCGTAATAATTTTGTTTTCGGTGGACCACTTTCATCTTCGCTGTACCATGCAGGCTAACAAAACGTTTTAGCTATGTCAGCTGTGGGTTAAAATACACTCAGCTGATATATATTATTAAAAACCGAAGCCGCTTTGCTCTTTCAGTGCTTCAGAGGAAGAGTACTTAGAACCTACTCCCCAGCAAGACTCAAGTCAAAGGCGACATACACGTAATCGATCGCAAAAGAAAAAGGTGCAATACAATTCAAGGAACACTGGACGCAGAGTGAAAACCGGAAGCCGGCCGATGAGAAGATATGAGAATTGTAAGCGAAGAGCTGGGCAAGAGAAAACCTGAGAGCTGAATATCTGTCTCCTAACACTAATTCTATTTGTTTCAAAAGTATAATTTTTCACTATGAAATATTTTAAATGGTGTCAATGACTTGATATTCCAACATCCCACATCCATTTGATTGAGTACTCTCACCCTGGTTAAACGAGATTGGGTGGCTGGGGGGGGGAGTATAATCAGGGGATATTGGATGAGTGAGTCAAACTGACAACTAGTTAGTTTTTGTAGCCATTAGATTGAAGACACCTCTTTCTGCTTCAAAGTTCAACCCCTCAGCCTTCACTTGCTCAGAGTAGTTTTAAAAAGACTGCAATGGCAAATTTTAAGCTTTCCTTTTTTTCTCCTTAATCTTAAATTCAGTCTGTTTTCTGCTGAGTTTGGTTGACCATGAGGAAATTGGGGAACTTGACATCTCTGATTTAGTCAGCAACAACACATCCGTGTTTGCAAAACTTTTGAGTAATGAAGAAAGCATGAAGGTAATGCTCTTAATTGTTTATTACTCAATGGGAGGTGAACAATCGACACTGCAGTAAACAACTTAATTGTTCACCAATTCCTTGCCGACCAAATTTCATTTATCATCACAGGAATATTACATTTTTTATCAGGCATGTGATGAGAATCAAGGGAACTATCAACAAAGGGATTCCATCAATCCGTCTTGAAACCAAATTTTCAAAGTGAATTATCAATTAAAGCCTTATCACATCACAGCAATTAACATTACAGCTGCGGTATCTTTGCCAGACAACAACTATGTACTTGACTCTGACTATAACTTCTACTCAGGTTGTGGAAACATTAGTCACTTCTACCAACTACAGTCCTTTAAAGGACCACGCTCACCCAGACAATCAGACTACACTATCACATAAAGCCTTGTCAGTCAGTAACGTAAGTTTTCATTGAAAAATAGATTTGGAATGGGTTTGTAAACCTCTCTGAAGAAGAACAAGAAGCTTTTATGGTTCCCAAGAGGAAAACAGCTGCACCTGTTCAGGATGTTGATAGGGGAAACACAGCTGAAGATGACATCCCAACAGAGCGAGGTATTGTGTTTCTCTGCTTTATTTAATAGTGCTTGGTAAACATGCTTAGTCTTATTGATGCAGGTTTTTCTATATATATTTTTTTTTTACTTAGATGCTGTAGCAGTTGCAGAAAAGGCTTTCAACAGAATTGAAGGACGTATCAGAGGAACCCTTACGAAAAAACGTTTCCCAATGGTACTGCAGCTTTTTCAATTAATAAAGCTTTGAGAATTGATAATGGCTCATTTTAAAAATGCAAAATTCCCTTTATAGTAAAATTACATTGATGAAAAGAAGAAACAAGATTGCTAAATAAAATTTCATGCTACCTTAATCTTCTAAGTACCCCGACCCCCTTCTCATGAAAACAAATTATGTTAAAATTTAGAGAGTTTTCTATCATTCTTTTATATTTTTTTATTTTGTACTTTTTTTGTCATCAGGGTGGCCTAAAATACCATGAACAGGAGGTGGTTGCATATTTTTCTGAAGATCCCACTGCAGTCATGATTTCCTCTGTTCCATCCAGGTACGTAGATACAAATCATTTTTAAGGTCTACATTTATTCTTTTTGTTAAGGGTAAAAATATGAAAAAAAAGTTTGAAAATATATCACACTTTTCAACCAACAAATGAAGGGGGAAGTGGTGTTTGAGATGGATAGTTTACAGTTGGATGTTACATTGACAATAACTAATGACAAATTAAAATAACATAAAATCCTGTTTTTTCTTTAGTTTTGATAGGCTGTTGGTGCATGGTGTATGTCAGTTCCTAGGTTTGAAATCAAAAAGTGAGTATTTTAGCAGTGAAGCAGTTGTTACTTTATTTTATGTTAAGGAGCAGTCACTGGATGTCAAGATTAGCCATAATCATGCAAGTTGTAATGTTTTTATGCTTCACCTGCATCAATTTGAATTTGGCTGTGTGGGACCTTTGAATGTTGTGTGAATCAATGAATTCCAGCCTAAATTTTATCTCTAAGGACCATTTTATGATCTATAGTCACAAAATGGGAACTTTGGAGGCCTTTATAAATCTAAAGAAACTAAAGGTTATAACTATGTAAACAGTAATTTCTTAGGGTTAAAACAACAGTTTCACCAAATCATTTGAGGTCTTATCTGCATAGCCCAGGAAATAAATTTTATGTCAACAGCAGCCCCACAACTAACAGAGCTCTTTGGTAAGAGCTGATCAGGGGCTGGGGATGCAACACTCAAGGGAACCTGTTTGGTGGCTAGCAACCAAAGAAGAGAAAACTAGATACATTCCTAATTACTATAGCAAACTAATGTGGCTTTTACTTATAATTTAATATGTGATATCACTTTCTTTACTCCAAGGTACTAGTCGTAATGGAGACCACATCATGGAGATTGAAAATAAACAAGACACATTTTGTGTTCCATCTCTCCTTCTCTCCCAATACTTGGAAAAGCGTAGATAACATTACAAATATGGACCAGTTGTATATACCAGAGGATTATCAGACAACATTGATTATTAGTACAATGGTGTTTATAGAAATTTGATTGTGTTGTAGATAGCATTCAAAGAAATATTTCATTTTACTCCTGGATGCAGTGGTCATTACATTAATGAAGAAAAGATAACTGTCATTGTCAAACAAATTTAGTTTATATTACCTTGATTGACACATACATGGGAAAATGGTCCATAAAATCTTTTGGCCTTTTTCAAATTGTATCATTTTATCAAGTCACTATTTATAGCCTTGTTGGTTCCAAAGTGGGAGGTGAGATCTTAAGAATTTGATATGGGAAACTAGGTAGTTAAACTTATGTACTGTATAATGTTATAATAAAAACTTATCCATTACAGATTAACAAGATGTTTCTTGGAAAATCAATCACACTACACCCTATATATGACCCACCTCCAGTAAGATGTCATTCAGACTTTCTGTCTGACAGTAAACTACCCCCACCCCCTTATAAAGAGGTCCCCCTATGCTATGACAAACACCTTGAATTCATACGCCCATGATAGTTGGAGTGTGCTTGGAATCAAATGATGATTTTAGTCATGTTTTTTATAGAGGGCTCTAAAGTAACTACATCTTAAACTGTGTGAACCCTGCCTGATATCAGCAAACAATTAGTGCAAAATGGAAATACATCATAAAAAACACCCCATAGCATCTGCATCAATTGCTGTTCTGTTGTTGTTGTTGTTGTCCTTGTCGTTGTTTTTCTTCAATCCCCATAAGCGCATGATTAGGTAACTGCTCTTTTCTGAATGTGTCAATTGTGGATAGGTAGCCATCAGCTTTGAAGCATCAAGCCAAGGAGCCTTGCTACTCATTCATTGCTCTGCTGCTCAAGGCTTCACAGTGCACATCGAACCATTTGCCTTGCAGGCTTTTGCCACCGGCTGAACCTTTTAAAAAGACTCCCAGCTAAGAGTTCTGAATTTACAAGAGGTGAATGATTTATAAAGGATGTAGTTAACTCACTAACCAATTTTTCACAGGCAATTCACACCTTAAAAGAATCTCAATTACTTTTATTGTTTGTTAACAATATACAAAATTTTGAAGTTAAAAGTATCACACAAAGTCAAGACGATGTATCAGATGCTAATCTTTCAAAAACAAAAATAGCTCTATGGTATTCAAAAGGTTAAATATAGCTAGCAGCTTTGGCACTTGTTTACTAATGAAGATTTGTATTACTGTTAAACTGTATGCAGGAATGAAAATTTGATATGAAGCTAGACTGCCAAGACCTCCAAAAACCTTCTTAATTCCTATATTAGCACTTACTAATAAGGATATAACATAGGATAACACAAGTAATGGGAAAGATTCCTGACTATTTCACCAGCCATTAAAAGGTACATCAGACATTGCATTAGTTATGTCCTGGGCACTTAATTGAGAACTTAGTTAAGGAATGTCCTCGTTTTCAAATTTCAAATTGGGTATATTTTCCTTGTGCAGAGGTAAATTTGATAATAATTTTGCTATAATGTTTTTTAAAAAGCCTAACTAAAATACGCCATTAAACCCCTGCCTCCCCCCTCCCCCTCCCCCACCCAAAAAATTTAAACACCAGTATTTCACAAAAGCTTACATCTTGGAGTTACAAGGAACTATAAATCGAACATTATTTGGCACTCCATCATAAGGGTACAAATGCGTAGAGCACATTTAGCTTTCCAGCAGGTATCAATGCACTCCACTAAACTGGATTACCTTAATTTACCATGGGATAAATTAATATTATCAGAATCTTAGTCATGATCTCTCCTGAATGTAGAGGTTTACAAGCATGCTCCTTTTAATGAATGTTCACAATTCACAAGGTTTGGCTTGAATTCTGTAGAACTTTGTTCCTACAGGAACTCGAAACCTGTTGTTTGGCTAAAAATGAGGAATGAAAAGAAGATTTTGGTTAGGTATAATGTTACCAATCAGATCAACCCTTAACTCCCTAACATCAGTATGCATATTCTTCATAATTTTGTCTACACAGTTCTTAGGGGACTGAAAGGGAAGAGAATTTTTTAACAATCAGTAGCCTCTTTAGGTTGTGATCATTTCCATGATCTCATGAATGAAGCTAAACATGAGGGTGGTACCTACTATGCATCTGAGCTGAAATTCAAGGCTAATCAAAATGGATAATAGTCATTCAGGCATTCCTATTTACAAGGTCAGCACTGCTTTGAGCAGTAGAGATTAAGGCAGAGAATATGTAATGGAAACTTCGAGAGGGATTTGAGCAAACTTTTCAAGAAGAATTAGTTTAGACCAATAAATATTTCCTATTTCTCACTGCCATAAAATATTTCAGCAATAGTGATTGATTCATGGTCAAAGCAGCTTTCATAACAAGTATTAACCTATAACTCTACCTTTTTAGCTTGACAGTATTCTTTATCAGTCATCTGTGCAAGCATCCATAGTCTAAGAATCGAAATGGAAAAGCAGTTAAAGTTTCCACTATGTTCAAATAGGATTATTTGTTTGTTGAACAGGTTGTGTTCAAATCAACTGAAAAAAATCTTAAGAGTAATATAAATAATTTAACAAGGGGGAAAATAAATCAACAAAATTTGAAACTTACCGTTTTTTAGGGCCACCTAAAAAGGTACAGAGGGAAGGATAATCAGAAAAAGTGCTATTGTTATATCCTTTAAACAAAAAACAGCAGTTTCCTCTAAAAATATTTGATGTCACCAATTTAAATATTAGCGAAACTTGTTTTAAAACACAATGCTCAAAAGTGGATGTCACTGTCAAACAAAATGAACAAGCTTCATTGAACACCAAGGGGAGTTCTTCAAAAGCTGGTTGACCCCTTAACTCCTAAGATCTCATTGTTAATTCTCTCCTCTAGTTTCTACTCTTTCCCTTGTACATTAGTTTGGAGAATTTGGTGATAGATCAAGAAAAAAATTTCTACCTGTCTAAGTTTGAGTATTCTCATAACCTGTTTCCTAAATAATGTATGGATATTATAGGGAGAAGTTACATGTTAATCACTTCTTCTATTATCAGCAGCCTCTTAGGCTAAAGGTCAGAAAGACCACCCTGCTCAATACTCACTTGTTGCAAGATCTAATCCTGCCATTGAGTCTGGGTGTAAAAAGAACAACGTTGGTCCTGTACTCAAAGCTACATAGTTCTCATATCGTTCATCAAATAAGAGAAGAATCATATCACCACTTTGAAAGCTGTGGGGAAAAAAACAACAACACATGGTGAAGATGCATTTATGTTATTGAGAGTTTTAATCTTAAAGTGGGAAATTTTAACACTAATGAGCTGCTGTTTTGCTTCTACCCCCTGGATGTGGCTTCCAATAAGAACAGTCCCTCTTTCCCAGCTAAGTCCAAAAGAACACTTACTGTACTGAGTCGAGCCAGAAGCTTATAACCAAGTAAGTCATGTCACAATGTAAACACTGATGACTGAGTAGTAATGCTGTTGATACAATTCATTTTTAAGATAATTCAATTTGACTTGTGAAATGAACTAAGCTAAAAAAAAACACCACTCCTAGCCTACAATTTTATGATGCCAGCACCCACTTGTAATCCTAGATTATCTAAAGTGGAAAAAAATTTTATTCCATAACCAAATTCGGAACCAATTCTTACTCTCTCAGAGAGATTTTATCCATCTTTGATGACACTGCACTTGCTCCACCTGGTGGTTTTATCTGATTCTGTAAATATAAATGAACAAATATATGATATTGCTATTTGAAGAAAATATCATTCTTGCATGCTTATTCCCTATATGATACCACTCATCGTCATTAATACAGTAGTACATAAACCCATCCACTCCAAGAACTGACAAATAATTTTATTATTTTAAGCTCCTTACTTTATTATAAACTTAATGACTGAGTGGGAGGGACAGGTAGGGATATACATGGCTTAAAGTCATGACACATGGACCTCTTGTCAGCCCGTAAGGATTTTAACATGTGATTGTCCTTCTCCATTTTTTTCTATTCTTATTTCAGCTCACAGCTTTCAGGGCCATATGTCTTGGTATAGCCTTGCTCATGCCAGAGACTTTGGCCCTGTTCATGCCACAGCCTATGGCCCTCATACAGTATTTTTGGTCACATTTTTTTCAATAAAAGTGTGTATGTGGCTATATGGGTCATAAAGTAGGGTGGGTTTTGTTTGATTCAACAACACATTCTTAGAGCTACCCAAAAAATGTACTATAAACAATAAGGAGAGGTGATATTAGAATCTGGGAGATGAAAGAGGTAGGTTAGTTTACTTACTAGCTGTTGCTGAAGAAGTTTAATCTGTTGATCTTTTGCCTCCAGAACCTGTAAAATATAAATATATTTTCAAGATCTTTCCTGGTTCTCTCATGTTAGTGAATCCGATTGGTGTAAAATACATACCCTCATGGGGTGATCTGACTAGTGTGAGATGTGTAACCTACTGCAGTGATCTGATTGGTGCATTGGTGCAAACAACATAACACTTGATATACTAACATAGAGTTATTTTATATATCCATTTTAAATATCCATCTTTCCATTTTATATATCCATCTTTCCATTTTATATATCCACCATTATATATATAATAACTAACTAAATGCTTCACTTTTTGGACTCACTTGTTTCAGCTGACCAAACTTGTCCACAGTTTGCTCTGACAATGTTTCAGCCAGCTTTTTGTTTTCCTGTAAAATGAAATGTTAATTGCAATAAGGTTTGTCATCTATATGATACTTGAACCTCCTTATTTTAAATACAAATTAAGGACATCAATTAAAAATTTGTAGTACCAAAAAGTTTGCACAGGAACAACATTTAAAGAAGTGTGACTTAGAATTTGGTGATTTTAACATGACAGAAAATGTATACTACATCTTAATGAAGAGTTCATCACCTCTTCCAGGAATTTCATCTTCTGTTGATCATCCTCCTCAAGCACAGCATCAGTACCACACCTGCAAACAGTGGTTATGATGTAAGATTATAACAGACTATTACTTACACCTTTATGCCTAATAATTAATAAAATTCCCCTTTGCTCAAATGCCAACACCCAGAGAACCATCATCTTCAAGAGAACATCTAACAATTAAGTAAATATCACGAATTGACTCCAACAAATGGCTGTGTTTTAGTCACAACTGAAGACCTGACCCAGTTTTTTAAAGGGCAGATAATGCTATCCAATGAATTAATGTTGCTTTTCAGCAAATAAGTGTCAACAAACTGTACTGAACTATCCACTGGATAGAGCTTCCTCCAGTAGATAGTGTTATCCACTGTTTGAACAACATGGGCCAGATGTTAACTTCTCGGTAACTAATAGCCCAGTATGATTACATTCATCTCTGACTCACTCAGTTTCTTTATGTTTCCCTGGTAACCCTTGTGCTCTATTTGCTTCCCAAACTTGTCGTTCGACTTGCAGCAATGCCAGTGCTGATGCTTTCTCCTGTTCAATCTGCTCTAAGAATTCAGCCTCTTTGTTTTTCATTAGCATCTCTGAATTCAGAATACTGGATTCTTTGTCTTGAAGAGCTGAACATGAGAATTTCCAAAAATTATTTTAAATAACTGGTGTGAAAGGAAAGGTTTTTAATTTAATAATGAAATGCCTCATGACTGCAGGCACAGGAATATCTTCATAGAGGTGCAGGCATAAGCCCTGGTTGGGGTCCCTGCATTATAAACTTGAGTAAAACACTCAATGGAGGTTGTTGGGAAAATTTCAAAGAATCCTAGAAATAGTTATAACTGGAGAATCAGCTCTGACAGCTTCTATTTCCCAACAAAGGGAATTCATTGTTTGAAATAACAAGAAAGATCAGAATATCCCTAAGCTTTCAATTACATGGAATAACACAAAAAGTGGTCAATATGTACTGTCTCCCTAAAATATCCATACATTGTCCAGCAAACACGTTATGTGAATAGTCTTAACAGTTGGAAGTTGTTATCTCAATCTAACACCAAATGCTTGTCACTAATAAACAAGAAAATGCATAGCAGCTAGAAAGGAGAATTGACAATCAAATCTTAGGAGTTAAATGGTTAACTGGCGCTTTCCAAGGCTGAAGTGACTTTTAGCATCTTATCCCACACTGCAGTTAAAAGACTACGAACAAAATTGTAAAAAAAAAACAACAAAAAAAAAACACTACCTGCCACAAGCTCCTGTTCTCTTTTGCAAAAGGCACTGCGTGCTTGTCCAAACTCTTCTGTCATCCTGTCTTTTTCCATTGCTAAGGACTTCATATCTTTCTCCTGTTGTTCAAGTAACTGTTTCAACTCTCTAATTTTTTCTTGTGCCTGTAAAACAGCATGTTCTTTCTCCCTCTTCAGTTTCATCATTATGGCATTAAATCGTATTTGCTGATCTTCCTCATAGCGTGACTTGTTTTCCTGAACCTTCTGTGCTGCACCTTCATGTTCTTCCAGTTTGGCTTTGTACTCTGTCACAATTTCACTCCACTTTTCAGTTTCTTCTTTATGTTGAGATTCATTTCTTTCCTTCTCAGCTTGCAGTTGTGTTAGTTGATCTAGAATTTCTTTTTTTTCAAGCTCAAGTCTAATTTTGATTTCTATGAATTCTTTTTTTTCTTTCTCAAACTTTGCATTCATTTGCACCAACTCTACTTCAAACTCCTCTTTAGTTTTTTGCAGAATGTGTTTGCCACACAAATCCCCTTTTTCTTTTAAATTGCCGACAGCAAGTAAAACATCCTCCTTCATCTTTGATTGCCACTCTATTAACAGTCCTTTGGCATCATTCAGACCCTGACGCAAAAAATTGAGCTCATCCTTCACACAATCCTTGACCTTCATGTTCAATTGTTTAAATGTCTCTTTTTCCAAAATAGCCTCCTCCCAAGATTCTTGTGTTGATGTTAACTGATCTTGTAGCTGTTGCAATCTTTGAACCACATCATTTGGAATTGACAGAGTAGCTGTCTCCAGCTCCTGGCTTCCAGAATCTAAAGCTGAAACATCAATAGATCTTTCAGTGCTCTGAGTTCCAGAACTAGCCAGAGTTGGTGTTTGACTAGCTTCCTCAAGCAGCCCGCTGCAGTCTTCTTGAACTTCACCCACAGGTTGTAGATCAGGTGAGATCTCCTTCTCATTGAAATTAACTTCTAAATCTGCATCAATAACAGTCACATAATCCTCATGTGCTGAACGAAAAACTAGGTCACTATCATCAGCTGCTGAGCTTTTCTCTGAAGAAGTATCACTGTTACTTTTCTTCCTCTCACTAGAGTTACTATCATGAAAATCCTCAGTGGTCTCTGCAGTATCCTGAGTACAATAGTTTTCTGTTGCACCTTGCCTCCCTTCCTGTCCAGGAGTGTTCTGATTGCCACTACATGTCCATTGAATTTCTGAGGAAGCATCCACACTCATTTGGGTAGCTTTGCTTTCAGAAGAAGACATGTCTACAATTGAAGATGTCACCTTCTTATCTGTAATACTATCACTAGTTCTGTCAAATTCTGCAGGAAATTGAGCAACACTGCTAACATTTTCAAGTTCTTCTGACTGTAAAAAACTGTTTTTTGCACCCTCCTCTCCCATGCTGACATTTACTGAACTAGACTCCAGATAAGAAGCTAGCTCTGGAATCTGATCTTTCAATTCTTGTAGGTCATTTTCAGATATGACTGGAAGCTGTTCATCAAAAGGTCTGGGTGGCTTTTCCTAAAAAAAGGAGGCTAATAAGCATTAATGATTGTTTTAACCCTTGAGCTCCATGAGTAACTAGGATAGAATATCTCTTAACAAAATCAATACAAAATCAAGTAGACAAGTGATATGAATAAACAAAAATATCAATTAGGGGATTTTCTAATTGATCCAATACCAAATTCTCAGAACTAACAACACATGAATTGTTTGACAGACAGTGAGGAAGAATTATTGATAAGATCTTGGGAGTTGATTTGGTATTGATCCAATACCAAATTCTCAGAACTAACAACATCAAATGACAAACTAATATTAATAATGGGAATTAATTTATGTGTAAAATAGATCAATAAGCATTTCTGATGGGCAATACAGACTGAAAACATACCGCAAATCTAGATGGCCTGTCAGACAAGCCACTGAACAAACTTTGTAAAAAATGCTGGCCTAGAAAAATATGAAAAAAATTGTGGTGATTATTGATATTTCAATAGTTTCATAGATGTACATAAATTTTGAAAAAGGCTAGATTGAAGTTTAGTATACTTTAAAATGTATGTCTAGCAAATCTTGATGAATAATAAATACACACCACACTTTCAAGGTAAAAGAAAGCTATTTCATTTAGATGTGGTAACTCAATTCCCAATGTTTGATTTAAATTATAGTTTCTTTTGCTTCTGGTAATGTAACATACATGTCATGCACCTAATTGACATATAATAGCAAGTTTGAAACAAAAGAACAGGCAACATGTTTTTACTAACCAAAGAGCAACTCAAATTCCTCTCTCTGCGCTGTTTCCTCTGTCCTTGCTTCTAATGAGCTCTTGCATAATTTACTCGCCCACTGAAAAAAGAAATTATTAACAAAAGGATTAATAGGATCTTGAAAATTTAATTTCAGAAAAATATAAAATTATTTATGAACATAGAGTAATTCAGTATGAATTTTTACCTTTTGAAATTGTGAAGAAAATGACCTTCGTCTCACAACTTCTGCAACAGCTAGGATGTACATGCGTGGTGCCTCGTTCACTTGTTCAATAATCTCCAATCTAAAACAAATTAACTATTATCATTAAAAACAAAAAAGATTTGTAAATCGTCAAATTTTGCTTACCTTCGCTTTATTCTTCTTATATTTTCATGGTACAAGATGATGGTTCCATCACAATCACAAATTTTCTTCTCAACATACATAATCCATCTAAATGAGACAGGATTGTTGATCAGCATTAATTCAAAATGAAATTTGCGAATTGTAGAGAATTTAGGGCTGAACCTAAGAGTGACTAGCATCTAAATTCTCCCCTGAATCACACATTAAGGTAACAAAAATAAGGGAAATGATCACCAACTACAGAAGTTCCTGATTATCAACCAAACTGTCCTTTTTAGTACATTAAAAAATGTATGGAGAGCAGTAGGGAAAATATGCATACTGATGTTTTGGGTTAAAGTTAAACATTGTCTAACTTGAGCCACAGTGTTAGACAATCAAAACACCTAAGATTTCTTTTGACATTATTTTTCTGAAGTGAAAAAAGAAAAAAAAAAAAAAAAGGGTTTTCCAGACTCAGCTAAAATCTTTCCATATTTGATAAAAGTATTCTTAAAACTCAACATTCAAACTTATCATGAAATTGCAGAGGGTTTAGAACATGACTAAACTTAGGCTGAGCTTTGTTGAAATAAACAGCTCTACAATTCAAAGCAAAACGTTTTTTCATATATTTCACAAAACTATGATAACAATTATCATAAGTTTAGTTTTTATTAACATATTTACCTAACATATCATGTGATATCATTTTATTAACATATTTTATTAAGTAAACATATCATGAGACAACCATATACCTTAATCTGGTGTGGAGATTAGCGGACAACTCATCCTTGGCTTTGGCACATTTTTTCCTGATATCCCTGATGTTAAATTAAAGGAAAAATAATAATCTCATAAAATAATACAGTATAATTGCTGTGTAACTGTACTGTGCAGTATGACTGGTCAAAAATTGTATCATTTTCCCTTTTTAATCTACCCGAGGATCTCATTTTGACTTTGATGAATGATTGTTGAATGAACCCTTTTAATCATATGTTGTTAGTTTAATCTAGAAATGGGGAAAAACACAGATTGCTCCGCTGATTTAAGGAGAAGTAAAAATAACAGGGCAGGGACAAAGCTGAAAGCATGACCACATTTTACCTGAGTGGTCTGTTCTATTCCACACCATTTATTTACTTGATAAGGTGTTTTGTAGTACATCACTAAAATACTCCCTTTCTTCAAAAATCCTCTGCACCATTTACTAAACAGACCCTTTCACTGATAAGTTTCAATTATTTTCAAAAGATTTCACAGATTTTTAAATTAAAAAAAATAAAGTGACTCTTCTTTTTAAGACTAACTATGCTTGCTACATGAAATTTATTCTTGACTTATGTCACTGATAATCCTGAGGGAAAAATAGCTCAAAACACTGGAATAATATATTACTACAAACCTCAAATAGGAGTGGTTCTTTGTCAACATCAAAAGCTGTTTTTGGTGACTGGCACATAGATCATGAAGAACTGACTGGTCACGGCCAATATTTTGAACACTTGTCAAATTCTGTTGCAGACCCTGTGACATGTCTGCTTGGGACTGACGGAAGGTTTGCACAGTCTGAAGAATGTGTTGAAGTCCAGCTAGTCTTTCATCCAATCCTTTGATTTCTTTCATGTTTGTATTATCAAGCGACTCTGTTTTGATTTGGGGAAATGTCAAAAGGAAGGGGATAAGGTTATATCTGTTACAATTCAAAGGGAATCCTGGAGCTGTTGAAACCTTGCATTCTAAAAACCATACTCAAAACACACGGTGATGAGCTTAGTTAACCTTTTAGTTAACTCCTAGACATCATTAACAAGAAATTTCTCCCTATAATATCCATACATTACCCAGCAAACAGGTAATGGGAATACTCAAACTTTTAAGTTAAAACAGGTGGATGTTGATATCTTGATCAAAAGCCAAATTCTCCTAATTAATTTTTAAAAAAATGTGTAGCTCCTAGAGGCAAGGATTAACAATCAGTTCTTGGGAGTTAAAGAGTTAAAGCCCTGGAAAGCTTCTGAGCCAGAAGGACAATCCATCCAAAGCTTTTCCCTATTTAAGTACCATGAAGTGACTTTGTGCATTGAGACTCCCTCCTGAATATGATGGTAGTCCATCCCAGGGTTACCCCCCAGCATTTTATCACACTTCCCTGACAAAATGCCAATATCCATACACCTCCAAGTGATGTGTGGCCCCTTAACTCTTTAACCCTAAAAAGTGAGTATCATCTCATCTCTCCTTACAGTCACAAAACATTAAGGTCATGAAACAAATTCAATCATTTTATACATATTCTCCTTTTCATCATCATAGGAAACGTAATGAGAACAGTGTGGAGAATTTAAACACTCATGTTTAAGAGTAAATTGTCCTTGTTAAGAACATTACACCTTAGCATAGCCATCCATTGCACTCAGACCTTTCAACCAAGAGTCAAGCACTTGGCACAAGCCATTGGGCAACTTCATCTTCCAAATAAAGAATAAGTAAATGAACCGGTTGCAATCAGGAAGTATTAAGGTGTGTGGTTTATTCTTACCTAAAACCTGATTTACTTCTGTAGTAATTTGAGTCAGATGTGATTCATCAAACTGCTCCACTGCCTCAATACACTGTTTGACCATATCCTGAAGACTATTCTTGTTGTCCTACCAAGAGAGAAAGGGTAACCTAGGTGCATGTAGACAATTTACTCATTTGCTTTCTTTAGTTCTTGCTTAATGAATTGTAGTGAAATGTAGAATTAAAAAAATCCTGACAATACACTAAGTAAACAAGTCTTATCTGCTCAAAGGCAAAGATGTTCCCATCACTAGGGCTTACCCTGGTAATTTTGACATAATGTAGTTAGGAATTGTTTTCTTGCCCTCAATGATCATGGAACTCTAATCCATCATTCCCTCTCCTTCCTCACCTCCCTCCCCTTACCCCTCCCCTGCCCCTATAAGCTTTCTTAGCACTTCACTAGTATTCAACCATATTCCAGGGTGGAGAAAGGAACCAACAGAATAAAGACTCTTGCCCAACACAATAACTAAGCAGGAACTTGCACCTGGACCTCTCAAACTAGAGCACAATACAGCCTGCTGTAATTACACCACTGTTTCTCATTCCAAGGAATATATACTAAAACAGGGCTGTAATTACTGGCTAATAAATATTATTGTAAGTTTCAAGAAATCTGATCAGAGGGCAAATTTTATTGTTAGATCAAATAAAATTCAAAAGAACATTTTTTGCTTCGTTGCACTTATGAATAAAAAAAAAAAACATTCTTTATTATAGGGGCTTCAAACAGCTGTATTTACCTGTGCACTTATCCAGTCCAGCAGACTAACCACATTATGTTGTCTAGCTTGGGAAAACTGCCTTGAAATGAGGCATGGAAGTACAGGTATTCTAGCCAGTAGAGGCAAGATCTCTTTGAACCTACAAAATCATTAAGTAGCTTTCAGCTTTCTTGTGATAAAGTAGAGGACAAATGGCTTATCTACAAACTAAAATTAATCGAAGGAAAATTTACATCTGCTTTGCATACCTGTCAAGTAACTCAATATATCTCGTCCTTGAATCCAGAAACTCTGAGTAGATTTGATTAACACTACTTGATCTGGCTTTGAACTCACTGGTGAAAAATTTTATTTAAAAAGAAAGACAGGCAAGTTACAAAAGTTGAGCATTAAGACGAAAGTATCACAAAAATTATTAAAAATCAGTTCAGCTTAGGTACTTTTAATGCATACTTGTAAGTGTAAGACTCTAACTGTGTTCTAAATTGCTTACAAATAATTTAAAATAGAATTCTTATTCTGACACATTCCCATAAATTACTCGCTTCAGTTTAGGGTATCTAATTTGCTTCCTAAGGATGTATGTTTCATATTAAAATGAATTCAAACTTGTTTGAATAGTGTTTTTCCTTGGTCAAGGATTAGTGCGATAATGTATCAGGAACAAAGGGAAAGAGAAATTAATCTAGTTTAAAGCCATATTGACCTGAGATTCATTTTAAACTACAACATATATGTAAAGAGGCTTCAAAAGTACAATATAGGTGGAAGGATTTTTTTGTTTTGAAAAATACCTAGCAATACTCTCCAAATTTGCAACAACTGCTGCCCATCCCTTCCGTTGCAGCTTTTGCTCATACACTAGATTTTGACAGCTCTCTGCAATTTGTATGGAAAGTGAATGGAATTCCTAAAATAAAGAAAAGACAATGCATATGAGTCTATTAATTTAGTAACAAGTGTAAAAAGCGATCAAAATTATAGTAAAATATAAAGTCTAATTAGATAGGGTGCAAGTAAGAAGGACACCATATCATCAAATAAATGCATACACATATCACTAAAAGTGAAACCTTTCTGTTTTATAGTCAAATATCCAAAAATTACTCTCACTAGTGTCTCTTTCAATTAATAAAAGAGTCTGCTGAGAACATAGGTTGCTATTTACTCAATACAACACATCTGGCAGTTTTTATTCACTATAAAATCTTCAAGGAACATACAGATGCTAGCTGAGCTCTGGATACAAGAGTTTCATATGCGGGTGGTAAATTCAAAGATTTTTCCACTTGCTCCTTCAAATTTGCTTCTACAAAAAATAATCAAATATCATTAGTATCAATCTGTAATCATTACTACATATAATAACAAAATATATCTAACACCCCCTTCCCGATTCCCAATAACTCCCATGAGTGACCAAAACAGAATTTCTCCTTACAATATTAATACAATATCAAGGAGACAAGAGATGAGAATATCAATCTGCAGGGTATTGGTTGATCCTATATACCAAATTCTCTACATTGACACCATAAGAATTGTATGACAGACAGTAAGAAGAATTTCTAAAGAGATCTTCAGAGTGCAAGGGTTAAATTACTGCCTGTAAGTTGAAAAGTGACTCAGTACTTACCTGAACCTAAGGTAAGACTGGGAGATGGTGGAATAGAGGACTCAATGGTGGATTTGCTGAACAAAAATATTGGGTTGGTATCCTAAAACAGAAACCTTGTGTTAGAACATCCTTAGCTAATCCAACATTTTTAGTCTAGGCCTTGGTGCATGGGGCTCAATTACATTCTGATTTTGTGTAAGTAATGATGCTGAAAAGGTTTATCTGAAACATCCAATAAACAAAAGCATACTGACACAAGATTTTGCTTGGTTCGTAATGAAACACTGTTAGTGCTTTTATAAGCTGATTCCCCTGGTATACATGCCCCTTCTCTAATACATCCCCTATATATGTGCATAGGACTCCTAAAGCCTTACAAAGTAAGCAATGAAATTCACTAGCTGCAAGGTGAACATTGATTCTGAAAAGATAAATCTAGAACCAGAATACACCACTGGTACTTACAGTGCCAGCACTGTTATAACTGTAGACTCTTTCTCTGGGATCCAATGCTTCACCATTAGATATTAACAAGACTTGTTTATCCTCTGGGATCCCTGTTTCAGCAGCCACTGTACTCATCAGCACTTGAACACTGTTTAAAAGAACACACATCTCAACCTTGGGTAAATGAAGGAACTAGGATAGTTACTAATCCCTCCAAATCAACATTGATTCAACACTTTTGTCTGGTAAAGGCAGTTGTTTAGGTTTTTTTTTTTTTTATTTCCAGAGTTTGAAACTGCCAACAGCACCCCAGTTCATCTGCTTAGAAGATGAATGATCTCCAGCAAAAATAGACCAAATCAGCCCAGTTTCTAAATGTTCTCTGTCCAAACTGTCACGCCAAAATCAGAGTCACAAACTATAATATGGAATCAAAAATCCAATAAAGCCTTGACAGTTGATTTAAAACCCTGAAAAGCATCATCATAAAATAAAAAGCAAATTTTTTTTCTTCCGATCTTGATTACTCATCATAGCAACTATTCAATCGCCGCATTTTCTATAATTACTCCCACTGAATGCATAGAAATTCTGTTGTGTATGACAAGACAGCACATCCTTCGCTTGGCAGCACTCAAAGTTCCACTAATTCTACTTCATGTTGCATGTCAATGCACAAATGCCATGTTGGATTAATAAAAACATGTGTTTTAATACCATAGTCAATCATTGGCTATGGTATTATCATACACAATGTATTTTCCCTTTTTGAAGTTCTATTTTCAGATCTGACATAGGGAAGTTTTTGAAATTCACCTTTCAGTATGACCTTTGGGAGAGAAATATTTTGCCTCAAAAATGCATTTTATATCATTGATTATTGTATCCACACATACAATTATTACTGGGTTCTGGATGTAAACTAAAGCAGACATACATAACACCTAAATTAATCATTTATATGTCGTTCACTCATGGCACACTGAAATATTTTACAACCGGGACATGAACTGCTTCAGCCAACACCAGGACTGTCAAAACAGAGAGACTAAAAAACAGTTAAACATAACTTCGTCATAAGTTTTGATCAAACTTGTTTGGTCACGTTTCGATGAGCACGTAGGTGACCTAACATATGCCAAGTAAGAAGTCTTCCCTACCAGTTGTACAACATTATAAAATCCTCTCTCACCTTTCCATTGCCAGCTCCATTTCAAAAGTGTACGTACTCCCCAGGTCGACATAAAATACATGCAACATTTTTGTTAAATTTTGACCTTCGAAGCTTCCTTGCCGTAAACGTAAATAGCAGTTTGCGCTATTGCAAAAATTTCGTTGAGTCCATATTGCAGTATAGGGTTCTTCGATATGAATACTTCAGACAATGCCCACGAAACCACCTGTTTCTCTTCATTTTCCCCAAAATGTTCGATTTATTTCGCTGAAGAATTCTCTTCCTTCATTACTAGCGAATGTTTCTGAGAAAACAAGGAACCATAATACTAATTTCGTCGATTCTCTGTCAGGAAATGATGACTTCACTTATACTCTGTTCCAAGTTCATAACAGATATCACGCAAGTAGGCATGCGTGACATGTTTGACTGCTGACCGGAAATGTAAAATATTGGAGGGTGGTTCAAAAAGTAATTGATAAGGTAACGCAAGATCACCTTGAAACAGGATTGACAACATACAGTTCCATCACTAAAAATAATTAGTTTCACCACATGGGCTTTTTCCCAAGAAGGTGGGAAAAAGCAGATGTTGTTCTGTGATAAATTTCCCTTCTCAAGGCAAAGTTATATTCTATATCAAGTTCCTCCTTATATAATCCCACAATCTTTTAAAAAAAAACCATTATCCAATAGTTCTGAACAGTTTCAGCTCTAAAATACCAATCAAGCATTGAGTATTCACTAAGACCACTCTGATGATCCCATGATCCCATCTTTCAAAACAAGGTCAATTTTCCACTAGGTCAGCAAAGTTTATAGCCTGCCCCTAGTATTCTCCAAACTAGGAATTTTAGATATTTTCCAAGTCAATACATTTGAAATTGCCAAATTCATGTTTTATCATAGAAATAACTTATTGCCTCCATTGCTTCTCAATCTTTTTGTAATGAATAGCCAAATTCACAACTATGGTACCAGAACAGCCAGTAATTATTGAACGCATTTATACCATACAAATCTCAAGCAATTTACAATTGTCTTAAAGAATAATGGTGCATACATTAGATTTAGGGTGACCTGGTCTACCCTCCTTGATGTTACAAAATTAATTGCACTAAAATCACTTAACATTCAATGGGTACTTAAAATATTTTATTTCAATAAGGACATCTTTGAAATAACATCTCTAAGACATCTGCGATTTGGTCATGGAACTACAGTAAAGAATTAAAAAAAATTTTAAGACTCTTGGACTATTATAAATACATTTTTCCATATTAAGTGAGTGCACTTTGTGCGTGGTTTGACTTCATTTCAAATGCTCACAGTAAGTTAATATCACAGTAAAAATTCAGAAACCATGTAATTACAAGATGTATATTTTCATAGATGATAGATAAAGAGATAAATTCCCTGAGTAAGGGGAAAGGTTACATATGAAAGAAAATCGAACAAAAAACAAAAGAAAGACTAACTTAAGGAATAGTGCTACACATTCTTGTGAAAAAAAATTGTGATAAACTGAACTGATACAAATTGTAATTTATGATAAAATAGAGAATATTTCCTTTTAATTGGGTATGGATGCTTTCCACAGAATCATTTCATCTCCCATGCACCTCCTTCAACTATAGAGTGTTTAACCATTAAATGGTTAAACCATAAAAAGTTAAATTTTAACACCCAGAAGTGATTAACATTTAACTTCTCCCCATAATATTGATACATCTTCCAGCAAAAAGGTAAAGAGAATACTAAGACTTATCAGGTAGACACCGTCATCTTGATCTAACACTAAATTCTCATAACTAATCTACTAATAAATGTGTAGCAGCTAGAGGGGAGAATTAAGTATTAGATCCTGGGAGTTAAAGGGTTGAGGGAAACATTGTGTTCTTAACACCACACTAATTGACTTTCTTCCTCTCAAAAGAAGATTATGATCTGCTATCATTAACAATAATCACATAATGCTGGTAAAAATATGTCTTGTGAATGGATAAAACTATATTGACCCAAACCAATGTTTTGCAAATTTGCTTATGACTATCATCATCTTTTCTTCACATTTTGCTATTTTTTTTTTTCAAGGTCTAGTTCAAAACTCTAATTTCTTTGGAATTTCCCAAGTGAAACCTGGCTTAAAATGACCATAAACACTTGTTGCCTTGAAAATGGGTTTGCGCAGGTCTAGATCCCTAATGATAGCACCTGGCCTTAGATCAAAATTCTTTTGGATGATTCGCAAAAGCTCATCATCTGACATTTCACTACTTCCATAGCTAAAAACAGACACTGACAAAGGCTCTGGAATACCAATTGAGTAAGATACTTGTACTAATGCACGCTTACAAAGCTTTGCTGCAACCAATGACTTTGCAATCCACCTACAGGCATAACTTCCTGACCTGTCCACCTTTGTTGCATCTTTACCTGAAAATGCCCCACCCCCATGAGCTCCCCACCCCCCATAAGTGTCAACAATAATTTTGCGCCCTGTCAGGCCACCATCAGCCATTGGACCACCGAAGAGAAACTGCCCTGCAGGTAACAGATGATAGACTGTTTGCTCATCAAGGTATTTTTCTGGGATTACACTTTTGACAATTATCTCTTTCAAATAATGCCGGATTTCTTCTGCAGACATGCCACGCGCATGTTGACTTGAAATCAAAACAGTGTGCACTCTTTGAGGCATGCAAGCACCATCTTTCATACTGTATTCCACAGTAACCTGTGTCTTACCATCAGGTCTGAGCCAAGGCAAAGTTCCGTCTCTGCGACACTCTACTAGTCTTTGCACCAGTCTGTGTGATAGAACAGTTGTTAAAGGCATAAGTTCCTCGGTTTCATTCGTTGCATATCCGAACATCAAGCCCTGATCTCCAGCGCCTATGTCCAAATCCTTCTTATCCAAGTGCACAACTCTTGCGATTTCCCCAACTTGCTCTTCGATGGAAAGCAAAACGCTGCATGTTTTGTAATCGAAGCCTTTAGAAGAGTCATCATATCCAATTTCCTTTATGGTATTTCGGATAACACTTTGATAGTCAACCTTCGCTCCAGATGTAATCTCGCCAAAAGCCATAATCATGCCAGTTTTTGAAGCAGTTTCGCAAGCGACTTTCGCCGTCGGATCTTGTTCCAAATGAGCATCTAAAATCGCATCAGAAATCTGATCACACATTTTATCTGCATGTCCCGGGCAAACTGACTCTGAAGTGAAGAGAAACTTGCTGCGATCGCTTGCACCAGTCAAGAAAGAGCGATTTAAACAAAATCTTGCTACTGAAGCAGACTTTGTTGGAATGATTCGAGCTAGCTTTGCTTTAGAACTCCACATTTTGAAAAGATGTTATCCTCTCGTGACTGAGTATTACGTAGAAATACTCAAACTCGGAAGGAGAAAAGCTTAAAAAAAAAAAAATTGCGTGAGTAAGCAAACTTGCGTGTGGTGCAACCCTGTCGTGTAAACCCAACGCAATCGCAATGCAACAACAGAAAATCAATACTTTGTCGCTGAAATTTGTTTCGTGTACGTTTCACTCTTAAAAACGATATTTTGGGTTAAAATAATGAGCTGATAATGAGAGATATTTAATCTGAAACGAAAGCATTGATTTCAAACCTGAACTCATGATAATATCCATCTCTGATCCAATCGGAGAACTCCGTAGTAATTCGGGATATTCCGTCTTGATGGTCGGAAATATTTGCCTTATAAACAAACTGTATCTCATTTCCGTTTCAAAATGGAAGCAAGAGGACAGTCTGTTGTAATCGAGTCCGATCAGCATTCATCGTCGCAAACTTTATGGCCTCTTCGCCAGACACTTTATGCAGAATCTGTAGGAACAGATGATGAAGAGAATGAGGACGAGCTATCTCGAACTTGGTGGGTGAAAACTCGCTGGTTTCAGCGTCTTGTTCAAGTGTGTGCCGTAGTCAGCCTGACTTCTACAGCAATGAATTCGCCGGAGACGTTTAAAGAATCCGGCTCACTTCAATACATCACTCTTGTATTGGATATTGTTGTTGCAGTTGTATTTATTACCGAGATGATCGCTCAGATAAACATGTGGGGTCTATGGAAAAAACAGAAGGCCTACTTCAAGAAACCGCAGTGCATATTTAACGCTAGTATGGTTTTCCTCATAATACTATCGATCTTGTTTCAAGTAATTGAAATTTCAGGCCATTCTCCCGATCCGGCAGATTACATTGCATTTTCTATTCCAAGAGCCCCAAGAGCTCTTATTATTGTTCGATTCTTCAATGTTCTCATCACAATAAGCTTGCCAAAGACAGTTGCTCGCCGATGCAAGCGACAGATCTGGGCTGTCACTTTATTTTTGTTATACTTCATGGCATTCGCTTCAATCATCGGCGTTCAATTATTTGGACGAAAGAATTACTATTGCGTGAAAAACGGTGCTGATTTGAATAATGTTACATACAATGATGTTTTACTCACAGACCATCGATGCAATAATGACACCGGTGAAAGAGGCTATTTTTGTCCTAGAAATTTCAGTTGTGTCTTTGTCGATTTTAATAAAAAGGACAAAGACTACTTCGGCGATTTTCTTCGCAGCATTTTAACCGTGTACGAAAGTTCCACTCAAGAAGGCTGGGTTCTTGTCATGTACAGAATGACGGACTTTCGATCTCGTCCATTAGTTTATGTTTATTTTGTGTTGCTTATTTTCTTCATTGCCTGGCTCGTGAAAAACGTCTTCATTGCTGTCGTCTCGGAAACCTTTGCCGATATTCGGAGCCTGTATATGTATAGTCGGAAATCTTCGAAGCGTACTTCGGCTCGACTAGCTTCTCAAGTCATCAAGGAGGGAGGAACTGGTTGGCATTTAGTATCGTTAGATCATGAAGCACATAAGGGACACGCACCACTGCCTGTTAGACAATTAGTTAACTCTAGTTACTTCAAATACACAATGATCTTCTTTGTTGTGGTTGATGCTATCGTACAAGCAGCTTTGAAGTTTCCCTGGAGAAGATACCCACAGTTCGGGTTTACCATACTTTTCGACTTGGAAGTTCTTCTTAAGATCTCATGTATGGGTTTTCGGCCTTTCCTTCTTCGTAAAATGCAATTGACAGAGTTTATATTAGCTGTTGGTAGTACTGTTTTTGCTTTGCCACTTTTGATCTCCGAGAAAGCTACTTTCTTAGCTTTCTTTAATGTTATGAGGATAATACGACTTGTTGGGGCAATACCGAGTTTGCAAGAGTTCTGTGAAAAAATCTTTGGTACGGGAAAAAAGCTCGGAGCGGCCATTGTATTTACGCTGTTTTTCGTCATGGTTTCCGCCGTGATCAGTATGCAGTTCTTTCTGACTTTGGATCCTAAGAAATTCG